ATATATATATATATATATATATATATATATATATATGTATGTATATATATATATGCACATTGTGACATGGGCATATTATAATTGCCGTGTAAAGGTATATTCATATCCCAATTCAGTGTGATTAAAACTAGAAATGGATAAATAAATTTTGTTGTTGGTAGCTGAAAAAACTGAAAAAATTGCTTGAGATGTTCTTAGACTCAAATACTTGTTGCTAATTCATTGTTAGCATTGTTAGCTCAACGTTAGCATCTAGCCTTCTTTACCCGATTGAGTAAAACCAAAAGATGTCGTAGCTTCTTAGACTGGTAATGTGCTTACTGTTCGCCAACACACTAGCATGTTTAAAATGACTGCCTCACATAACTTGTGTTGATTTGAAGCGTTGTTTGTTCATGTTCCCTGAAATTAACACAATGTATTCAAATGCTGCAATATTTGAGTAACAGTAGGCGGAGTTGACAAAACACACACTCACCATGGTCACTCCGTCTCTGGTTTAGGGGTCTTTCATAGTATCTACTATAGCTGTCTTTTTTTTTTGCTGTGATCTCAAACTTACATAGTTACTTATCTCTTGTATTGAAGCCATGCTGGTTTTGGTTGAACACCACAAACCTGGGACTCTATCTGGCCTGTGTTCTCTACTGTGCCCCCTAGCAGAGTCATTCCGTACTACGTGCAGTGCTGTGCAGCAAGTATTTGAAATAAGACGCTGCCTGCTGCCTGCGTCCACACGAGATTAAACAAGTATATTCCAGCCTTCTGGGTCGCTCCTGTTACTGGTTTAGGGTATTTACAAAGATTTCCTGTGTTTTGCCAGACAGTGTTGAATTACAATTACTGGTGCCGCAGTGCCAACTTGGCAACCCTATGGGCTCACAGATTATAAACATAGACTACGACCCTCTTTGGCTTTTTTGAAAGAAGAAAAACCGACAACCCACCATGCTGGCTGTAAAGGACATCTGTTTCAGTATAACTTTCCTTCCAATGTGATTGAGACATTAAACAATTTGGTAAATCTTTCACTGTAAGCATATTAAGTTGTTTTATGTAGGA